TGCTTTTAGCATCTCTTCCTAATCTCAAATCATTCTCAGCTTCTGCTTTCCTATTCCCATCCCTGCTATTCTTTGCCACTTGTCTGTATTGTTTCTTTGTTGCCTGGCTTTCCTTCCACTTCCTATATGTGTCCTTTTTAAATTTGTTTTCAGTTCTACATTGGCCTTTTTTTGCTGCCTCACACCTTTTTTTTCTTTTTGGAATTGTATGTAGTTGTGCCTTTAGAATATCTCTGACAAGAAACTCCTACTAATCTTGGACTCCTTTTCCTGTTAAGATCTCCCTGCAGTGGGACCCTTATGTATTATTGTTCTGAGCTTATTAAAATTGGATTTCCTAAAATACAATGTATATGTGCAGCTACACTCTGTTTTTGTTTCCTTTGAAATCAAGAACTGAAATAGAACATGACAACTTACTTTGAGAGTTTCCTTTAATGCTACTTCTTCCCTGAATAATTTTTTTATTTTACCCTCCTGAACTAAGTTCTCCAGTTCTTCTTGTTTGATTCCCATACTCTTGGCATTTGTCTATAGACACGGAAGATTGTATAATTTATGGCCTGCTTTCCTTTGTCTGTTTTTATGAAGATTATTATTTGGCCCCATTCGAGCTGTATGGTCTGCTCCTTTTATTCCTGGCATTTATATATAGACATCAGATATTGTGTGATTTGTGGCCTGCTTTTTTAATGAATATAACTATTAATTTTGATGTCATTATTGACTCCTATTAGAACTGTTTGGTCTATTTCTCTTATTGTCCGTAAAGATTCATCTATTTTTACCTTTGTGCTTACGTCTCCCTCCTGCTTTCAATTCAGTTTAAAGCCCTCCTGATGAAGTTCTTCATGCTGTGGCCAAACACATTCTTCCCAGTCCTTGTGAGGTGCAAGCCATCTCTTGCTAGCAGTCCATCTTCCAAGAAGCAAGGCCTGTCATCCCAAAATCCAAATCCCTCATGCTGGCACCACCTTTGTAACAAGTATTATCTGAGCCATTCTCTAGAAATGTAGGGAAAAGGAACAGGAACAAGAAATGGAGGAAACTCCAGGTGCACAGGGGAAGTGCTATCCAGTTCCAGTGTATTTAGGAAGAAATCTTTCTTCTGAATGACAGTTTTAAGCCTGGAATAAAATCACTATTGCAATCTCATGTGTTAGTTTCCATGCAGTTACAGATGTGCTTGCTAAGGTGGCTCTGGGCATATAGCATTTACACAGCACATAAAGTTGACTTATGGGCTATATAGAAAGTGCAGCAACGGGATTTAAAAATCAGTTCCCCTGAAACTTAAGGCTGTATTGGAGTGGCTGATTTCTCTGAAGACAGATTTCCACAGTACCAAATACATTGATTTTCCTGATACTACAATGAGATCAAGATGTTACAGAGACATGTCTGCGTGGCTTGTTTTATTTCATTGGCCCTTGAGGTAAGAATCCAGGCCTAGTTATGTCCATTTTTCTCAAAGGCTATTGCTTCCTTGCAGTTTTGGTTCAAACACGTGGTGGGAACTCCAACGGTGCTCTGTGCCATTTCCCTTTCCTCTATAACAACCGGAATTACACCGATTGCACTTCTGAGGGGCGAAGAGACAACATGAAGTGGTGTGGAACAACTCCAAACTATGATGCGGATCAGAAGTTTGGATTTTGTCCCATGGCAGGTATGTTGAATATACCTTGTGTACCAATGCATAGGCAATTTTGTTGCTCTATAATTTTGTGTGGATTGTGAAGCGATGTTTCGTCTAAGGAATGTCTGTAGGCATTGATTCCAATTCAGCTGCTTTACGTTAGTTGCTGCCTGTAAAGATTCACCTCATGTTCAGCCAGCATTCTGTTCTGGGATCAAACCCTGAAAGAATGCATCTTCTTATTTTAGATTCAGAATCCAAAAGTAGCTACATGTTCCAATTCTTTTTTCCCCTGTCAGATAAATAGAAATGCATACAATATGCTCTGGCAGAAGGAGAGTGAAGCCAGAGTGAAAATTCACAATAGAGTGCCTAGCTGATTTGTGTAATATGACACTTGAAATGAGCAGAAGAAGAAATCTCACTCTTGGTTATTCTTTGAACAGCGCACGAGGAGATTTGCACAACCAATGAAGGTGTCATGTACCGCATTGGAGACCAGTGGGACAAGCAGCACGAGATGGGTCACATGATGAAATGCACTTGTGTAGGGAATGGGCGTGGAGAGTGGACCTGCATTCCTTATTCCCAGCTTAGAGGTATTTTGACTTGTTTTTGCTTCTCTGTTCAGTTTATGTTGTCCAGTGTTTTCTGGAGAGTAGGGATTCATATGTTAAAATAGAATATATAGTGTGGTTGCAAGCTAATAGGTAGAGAAAGAATCTACTAAACTACACCTTGAGGTGGAATCATGCTGGCCATGCTGGCCATTGGCCTAAAAAGGTCCTTTCTCCACCTCTGACCCCCCAGTATAGTTTGACAACTCCAAAGGTTATCCTGAAATTTAAAGATTAATCAGACAGTTCTCAGATATGATAAAGTCCTCTTATTCTGTTCTTACTGAATGAAATGGGAATATTCTGATGGCTTTAATGGAGGTTGAATCAAACTAAAGGGACTCGGGAAAACAGTGCAGATACGAGGAATAACTGCTGAAGCTCATCATTTTCTGTGATTCCAGTCTCTTGAGTTATGTAGGAAGTGAGCAAGAACCTGCAGAATGGATTCACAGTTCAAAGGCATTTTGATCTGTGGTCGTTCCTGAGTACAATCTGTAAGGCAGGGATTCATCTATTCAGCAGAGGAGGATATAGTGTGAATCCAGGCAAGTACATGGGAGAAGAGTTTATCATAGAGTCAGTACTCCCATCAAGAAATGGGAAAAATAACTTTTTTAAAAAGACTGCAACACCCACAAAGACTGCAACATCCATGTTCTCATGGCTAGTGGCCAGCATTCATACCCATTCCACTCAGGTTTCCCAGATGTCCCTTTTGAACTAGAAGAGGAAATATTTTTTTCCCTTGGTGCCCCAAGGCCTAGTAAACAGACTGACATGTGTGAACAAATTTTCTATAAAAAAATAAATACCAGGTAATGTGTAGAAGCAGAAAGTAGGAATGCTTGCTTGTAGTGTGCAGATGAAGCACCTCCCCCACCCTGCACATGCACTATTCGACATGCCAAAGGGCAAGTGTGGGACATCAGAGGGCTGACTTGCTCTTCCGGGGCCTGTTCACATAGGCTTCCCTTTTGCCAGCTGGATATGTTTGGCAAATGTCCCTTGTCAGGGCACAGACATTGGGGGCTGAGCCAAGGTGCCACTCTGGCATTTAGGAACCCCTCTCTATGTGTGTAATGGGCTAAAGGCATCCCTTCCATCAAACAGGTTCATTTAAAGAGGCATTGGGGTATACATTCAGGTGTTGTCAGCATTCCTTGGAATGACTGAAAAAGATTATAAGATGTAGATTCAAAGCATCTAGCATGGATGAGTGCAGCATTCATGTAATCCTTTTTTACTACATGCTCCCTGAAATTCATTCAAAAGAATAAAGAGAGACATCCACATCTACAGACTGGATTTGAAGTATTCGAAATCTTCCAGATTTTGTTTTGTTTTGTACGTCTGGTGTTTAAGAAAGGCTAAAGATTTAGGCAAGATGAAATTGAAAGCAACTTGGTTGCCACTGCCTGGTACTCTGTACTTCTAATAAAAATCTGTGGAAGACATAACATAATAGCTGACCTGAGACCTCAGAAAGACTTCTGGAGAAGGTTAACATTGTGTAGAAACAGCATTTCATAGAATCCTCAGTGCTAGGCAAAATGGAGGACTGAATTGTGGAAGCACTGGATTTGATTATACAAACCTATTGAAGTAGGGAGTTTTCTGTGTTGTAGTTGTCACACTTGGTGAAAACTGCTAACCATCGGGAGGCTCTCTTGAAGTGAAGTGCCTATCTTGTGTGAAGTTCCTGCTGTTCCCTCTCACAAGAAAGTGTCACTCCACTGCACAAAAGAACATGCTCTGTTGCAACCAGTAATCAATGGCACAAATATTATGTTTGCCTCTTAAAACAGACCAGTGTATTGTTGATGACATCACCTATGATGTTAACCAAACTTTCCACAAACGTCATGAAGAAGGACACATGCTGAACTGTACTTGCTTTGGCCAAGGTCGGGGGAGATGGAAATGTGATCCTGTCGGTAAGTCTGCTATTAACTGAACTGCATGTTTTACAGCGTTTAATGCATCGCCCTGTCAGCAAGAGCAGTGTGTAATTAATGCGCCTCAGATCGTCTAGGAAATGCCCTTATTTAAGGATTAACGAGGACTTCTTGAATGCCAGAATAAAAAGCACAATGAAGTAACACATGGGAGATGGTTTCGATCTCACCAGAGTTACAGGGGTATTTATGCTGAGTGTAAGGGGTGTTGTTATACTTCCCTTCCTGGACTGCTGACGGAAGTGCATTGAAGCGGGCCAGACTAAGTTTTTGCATTGTTTAGGTGTTAAGGGTAAGTAGAGATATTTAGCCAATTTGGGTGGAAGCAGTGCGTTGTCGAGTATAAGCCTATTTATGATGATGCCAAGGTCCTGCTGTCTTTCTGTTTCAATAATATGCTGCCTAAGATTACTCTTGGCCTTAATGTATCCCATTTGCCAGAGTTTGTGTTCCTTTTTATTTTTCTCATTTGGGAAGGATTTCCATTTACAAAAGGACCCCTCCTTGCCCTTCAAAGCCTCTCTGACTCCGCTCGTTAACCCTGCTGGCACCCTCTTGGACATACTTGAGCCCTTCTTTCTTTGCAGTACAGTATGCACTTCCGCTGGGCCTCTACTACCGTTGTTTTTAAACAGGCTCCAAGGCACTCTGGAGAGACTGGGTTCTTTTCGCCTTCACTTTCAACTTATTTCTAACCAGTTTCCTCATCTGAGGGAAGTCCGCCCTTTGGAAATCCAGGGTTTTTGTGTCACATTTGCTTGTCCCTCCCCCCCCCCCCCGCCCTGTGACATGCCACATGGTCACTATTCCCTAGCGGCTCAGTGACATTCACGGCCCTAACCAGGTCCTGAGTACCACACAGTATTAAATCCATAGTCGCCTGTCCTTGGGTGGGCTCCATGGCAAGTTGCTCCAAGGCACAGTCACTTAGCATGTCAAGAAACCCGGTCTCTCTTTCTTGTCCCGAGCATGCATTGGCCCAGTCGATGTGAGAATAATTTAAGTCCCTCATGATTACAATCCTGTCCCTCCCCCCCAATTAGGTTTAGAAAAGAGCTTCTATCTAAACAAATGGAAGGTGGTTTTGAGGCATAACTATAGCAGTGGGGGGAAGGGGGAGTGATTGAGGGGGCTGCTGCAGCTTAAAAGGTTTCCAGTGTGAAGGGGGAATCTTTGTGTGCTCATATGTGTATGAGAGAGTGCAAATTAATGGATGTATTTATGGATACATATGAATGCATGTGTTACCAAAAACAAAACACCTTTCTGGAAGCATGTGTGTTGTGTTGGGTTACTTTCCCCGCTTTCCCCAAGGGATGATGCCAAGATCAGTCATGCAGTCCCTGGAAAGTTCCTGGGAAGTTAAGACGCCACCTTTGGATGGAAGAGGTTACCTTCCTCTGGGCCAAGACATATCCCTCCTCTTTACCAGTATAGCCCACTACAATGTGCAAGAGCAGAGGATATGAATATCGTGTATACATGCACACCATTAGCCCTGGAAGTCAAAGGAGCTTTTTCCTTTTCTTTTTAATCAGCAAATTCAGACGTGAGGTCTGGAAAAATCCATGTAGGTGTCCAAGGAGGGTGCTTTCCCATGGTGCCATCTAGGCACTGTTGATCATCGCTAGGCACAGTTTATAAAGAACCTGACGCATCCCAGGCAAGCCTTTTGGCAACGTAATCATTGAAAGGATAACAGGCGCAACCTCTCTGATTAAAATGATCATGGCAGTATTTCTCAGCCTTTTAAACCCATCGCCTCTTTGGATAACACCAGAGTATTATACTTCAAGCCAACCTCCCCAATAACTGTATTTAAAATTCTGTGAATATGGCAAGTGACAGTGCACATACATTTAGAAAGTGACTGCACCACTTGTTATGTGCTGTTAGAAATAAGTGACCTCCAAAATGTCATATAATTGCCACTATCATCATCATGCGCCGTCAAGTCAACTCTGACTTACGACAACTTTTTCCAGGGTTTCCCAGGTAGAGAGAACTCAGAAGCAATTGGCCGTTCCCTTCTTCTAGGGGTGCCCTGGGACTGTGCAGCTTCCAATAAGCAGAGTGCTCAGAAAGCTGTGGTTATAACCCTGACTCCATTTCATAAATAAAAATGTCTATATTAATGTTGACCTTTTTCCCAAATTACACATGCCGCCTCTGAAATTGTGATATGGGTTGACACAATTCCACTGGTCAAAAATCATCACTTGAGGGGTCAATTGTTCATCATTGGTGCCCCAGCATCTCTGAGAAAATGGTCCATTTTACAGAAGAGCAGGCTTTGTCAAAGCATGTCCTTCTAGTTCAGGCCACCAAAAGGCCTCATGTGCCCTGTTAGCAACTGGAAGCCTTTTCCACATCCAGTAGGAATCCCAAGTCCCAGCCCTTCACATTGGGATGGCCGATGCCTTCCTACCAGATTTGTCAGTGGCTGCTACCAGACACCGGCCCTTCTTGACTGTTCTTGCCTCAGCAGATTCTTGTAGTCCGCAAGGCTTAAGGCGTTAGGTCTTCCTTTGGGAAATCCAAGTTCAGGAATCGTAAAGTGCAGTCTGAACATTTTTACCATCAGGTACCTCAGTTTCCTGAACCAAAAACAAACAAACAAACAAACAAACAAACAAATTTAAGCAAAGATTGCTTTAACCAATATTATCTTACCTGAGGCTAAGTCTGATTTAATTGACTGGCTTTGCCTGTGTTTTGCTGCGACTAAAGGGGGAGTTTTGAACTAGGCTGACAATACGGCTGAACTTAGTTTTCTCTTAAAAATGAACAGATTATTCTTTTCTATCCAGAAAAAAAGCTCCCAAATTCTGACTGAATGATGCCACCCAGAAACCTGATCTCTAATTATTTAATCCGTAGGGTTTTTTTTTTTTTCGGGCAAGAGTTTATGAAGCACTAGGGCTCAAGTCCATCTTTGTTGAAGTATGCACAGGTTTTGTCAGCGACGTCGTACAGAATCTCAGTTAATGTGTGACTGCTGCCAATGGCTTTTTGAAAAAGAGAAGGTTGTTTGACAATGAGTTAGAAAATGAAAAATGATTACAAACCATTGGCTGTTTCTATTTGGCCATGCATTTCACTCTGAAATAGGGATGTGTACTAGCACCAAAATTCAGATTTGAGTTCAGAATTTGGAATTACAGTCCTTTGGGTTTTCCAGATATCCAGAACTCTGTTACAGTGAATACAAATACCGATGGAGCCAAGCCTGCCTGATCCAGGCAGTTGTTCAGCTGCTTGAATATCATTAGTTGCTCCTGCAAAGAGGCTGGTTTACTTCACATATGATGTTCGCCCAAGGGTATATATTACTCTCCCTTTCCCAAGAGTTTTGCTCAGTTAATTTTTAACATGCTAGCATACGAAAACTTGTTATTAAATATGCTTGCTTGTTCTAATTGTAGGCTTAGAAAAGTTTATGGTTCTTTTTCAAATGGATCTCCTTGCTCCCTTTCCACTCAAGCATAATGCACAAGAGTCTTTCTTGATCTGCATTATTGCTCTCAAGGAGTCTTTTCTAAGGTCTATAAATCAGATATTTGTTGTTATGTACCATCAAATTGCTACCACCTTATAGCAATTCTAATAGGGATTTCAAAGTAAGTGAGACATTTAAGGAGTCGTTTTACCAGTTCCACATTCCCAGTGAGTTTCTATGGCGGAGCAGGGATTCAAACTTTGAAAGCTCCTATCTTAGTGTAAAGCATTTACTGAATTCCTGCTGCTTTTGAGTGGAAAGAAATGTTTACAAACATCCTCTCCTTTTCCTTATTTTGTGTGTTCACAAAAATTGCTCGCTCTTCTGGATAGGTTCAAGGTTGCTCTTCTTCTGCGTAAAATTAGGATCTGGTATTGTCAAGGAGATTGGCCGTCTATGTGATTGAGAGAAGCTTGTGCATGTTTGGAGGTGTAATATGTATACCTTGCACTGAAAATAAACAAGCCATTCACTGCTATAGCACTCCCAGTAGCATCTTCATCTAGCTTTGATTCTGCAGAACCGCCAGGCTTTCTCTTCCATTAGTAATCCCAGGGAAGGCTCTGAGAGTCTGAAGATGTCCCTGTGATGAGGGGAAAAGTAAAAGACACACTTCAGATGCGGGTGTGTGTGTGTGTGTCCATCTTGCAAAGGAAAGCCTTCTGTGTTCAGGAGTGGAGGCTTTCCTTGACATTTTAGAGTGCCAGGGGGGGAAATTGGATTCTAGAATCTTAAAAGTCTCCATGGAGGAGAAGAGGGCTGATTTATTTGTAAGCCTCAGGCCCTCGAAATAACCATCTCTTTCCCCATTTGGATTTCTGTTTTTAGACCAATGCCAAGATTCGGAAACTCAGACCTTTTACCAGATTGGAGATTCGTGGGATAAGCATGTTCAGGGAGTCAGATATCAGTGCTATTGTTATGGACGTGGAATTGGAGAGTGGCACTGCCAGCCTTTGGGTATCCAGCCAGGTAAGAATCTTAATAGTGGAGTGAGAATTGATGGAGGAGCCATCTGTGGTGTTAACAGTAGTGATGGGCATGAATTAATTTGGTCGGCCCTGACGAAATTCATTGACGCAACACCACCGGTGCTGCATGTTCACTCCCCCCCCCACCTCTCAGCCGGTTGGTCCACTTGCAGTTTGTTGCTCACCACCTGGGTCCTTTTCTGAATGAGGATGGAGTGATGCCCCCTGAGAAGTCCAGGGATGGGGTGCTACGTCATTTATACGTATAGCTAGATCTCCTCAGAAGCACCCTTTAAAATAATAGAAAATGGCAGAAAAGATATTTCTGGCCTGAAGAAAGCTGGCAGGGCCAAAACAATGATTAAATGCTAGCCATATTTAAATATAGTTTTAGAAGAACAAGCCGTGTTAGTCAGTGCATGTCGGGCAAAAATGAAGGAAAACTGAAATATAAAGAAGACAAGAACGTTGTGGCACCTTAAAGATTAACTGCTATGTTTTAATGTGAGCTTTTGTGGACAAGTCCACTTCTTCAGACAAATAACTTTAAATATAGTGTATTCTGAATGAGGGGAGGAGCAGTGGTTCAGTGAGAGAGCTCTCTTGGAAGTTCTCGGTTCAGTTCCTGGCATCTGTCGGTTGGACTGGAAAAACCTGAAGACCTGTTGCCAGACAGTGTGCACAGGACTGGGCTAAATGTGCCAATGGTCTGTCTCAGTATAAGGGAGCTTTTTTTCCCCTTCCTATGTTTCAGAGGTGAGATTCCAGCAGGGAAAATATTACTCCCCTCAGATAAAGGCAGGCTAACGGCAGATAGTAAATTTCAAACCAGGATGTTCCTAACTTGTAGCTCAGTCATTTTGCCATTTTGCATTGCCACTCTGTTTTAGGAATAAACCCATGTTTGGATTAAAGGTCTTGTACCCAAAACCATTGCTATTAATCTCAGTGGCATGTCGTACCTGATATCTAAACAAAATGTTTGAACTGTCCTCGTTATCCAGTTCCAGGAACTGGTCTCTGTAGACATGGTTTGATACAAGGTTTGTTTGTTCAGCCTCAGTCTAAAGCACATATATTGATTAGGGAAGTGGTTTGGCTAACCTTTGTGCTTGAACATTGCATTTACGGCTGTTGGTTTGGGGTCTTGTGTTGGAGTATAACTGTGTGGGGACAGCTCATGGTACAGCTGCGACAGTACCTCCCCAACGTTTTGGGATGAGGTAAATCTCCCACTCCACTCACACACCTCTAGGTAGATGATAGAATATAAATTTCACAATAGAAAAGATTTATGAATAAATAGGGGGTAATGCTTTAGGATAACTGTACATCCTGTACATTCAGGCATCCTGAAAGAAATAGCCCATTTGACAGGAAGAGGAATGTATGAATTTTGTTTCTTATAGACTTGCTGGTTATATAGGAATAAATGGGTTCAAAGTTAAATGAACCTTTGTCTCAAGATCCTTGGGTGACTCAGATGTTCTTATACTGATAAAGATGTGCAGTAACACACATCTGTTCCAGTACGAACCAGTAATGGATTTAGAAAGAGAGTAATATCTGTGGTATGGTGACTGTGGAACTAAAAGCCCAGAACACTCTGAAAGACAGTTAAGTTTGTTCATTCCAGACCAGCTACACTGACGATCAGACCTTCACATGGCATTCTAAATAAAATTTCTTTTGTTGGAGTTTGGAATTTTTTGAAAAATTATTTTGCTGGAGGGAGATTCTGGGATTGCAAATAAATAAACAAATAAATAAAATCAGCACTTCCAGGCTTGGCAGAAAATCCATAGCTACAAGCAGAATGTTATGAAACTGTGGGCATGATTAGATGGGCATTTGTTCTGCAGTTTAGTCTGGGTTGGGGATGGACTGGTTTGCTCTGTTTTCAGTGGCGTACATATGTGTCACAATGAACCAGTCCCCCTCCCCCCCCCAATGAATGCCTGCCCGTACCTTTTTGAGTTGTCAGTGGCTTCTATTTCTTTGGTGCAGCTAGGATTGCTCCATTTTGGCTTGGTTCCAGCATGTGTGGGTTCAGACCAACGTGGATGGCTGGCTGTCACTTTGGTGAAGCTGTTTATCAATTTTGAAAAATAGGAAAGCTTTCTATCCAACACTATTAAACTCAGGAACCCCAAACGATTCTGGGAAGTAGTTTTGGGTTTGTTTGTTTTTTCAGATTAAAATACTGTCAATATCCCCAGTCCCTTCTGTCACTTGGGAGCAGTACTTCCTGTCACTCTGCTGTGATGATTGTAAAAATGAACCCCAGTTTGATAAGGATATGCTCACAGGAGTACCTGATTGGTCCCCAGTTTCTGTTGCAGTTATTAGCTAATATCAAGCAATTATTAGCTAATATAAAATCCAGGAAGGCATCTAGGCCTGATTTCCTGCCCTCTGATATGCTTGAAGAGAGTGCGGATTGGTGGGTACCAGTCCTGACTAAGCTTTTTACAACTGTGGACAGGCCTGGGCTGATGCCCAAGGCCTGGACCCAGTCCATAATCCTTCCCATATATAAAAAGGGTGACAGGAAATCTCCAGACAACTATAGACCAATAAGCTTACTATTGGCAGTGGGGAAGGTTTATGCCAATCACCTGCTGAATTGGCTTATCAGCTGGACAAGTGATAACAACAATCTAGGCCCTGAACAAGTAGGTTTCCGGGCAGGCAGATCTTCAATAGATCACTGTTTAGTACTGATCCATTTTATAGCCAAGCAAATGGCCCATGCTAAGTCGCACCTGTATGCTGCTTTCTTAGATCTTGAAGCTGCTTTTGATTCAGTTGATAGAGAACTTCTTTAAGAAGCCGGTCTAGACAGGAGATTGCTACTATTGATCCAGAGACTGCATATGGATAACACATGCCTCATTTGTTTATAGAGCCATAGCATCCTCTCTGAACAGGTCCCCGTTAATAGGAGTGTTAAGCAGGGTTGTGTCCTTTCCCCCACCCTTTTTAACCTGTACATCAATGATTTCACTCCTTCCTTGTTGGAGGTTGTTGGTCATTGTTCTAGACTGGGTTCCCTGGCAGTTCCCATCCTGTTATACTCTGATGATATGGGACTACTATGATGTACTAAGATAGGCCCTAGACAGCTAATTGAAAACTGTGTTCTCTATCTTTCCCGTAACAAATTGACTCTCAGTTATGTCAAATCTAATATAGTCATTGTGTGCCATATGCAGCTCTATGCCTGGAGGCAGGCTTAATCAGATTGGGGACACAAGTGTGGCTGACACCCTTTAAATACTGGCTGAGAATATGCCTTGTGGCCACAGATGACCCCCTAATTAGGGGTGTCTTGTCTGATTCTTTACATTCTCCTAGTTTAAAACTGTTCATACAAAAGGTGCGGACCATGGTGGATTGAATTCACAACCTCTGGAAACATAGCTCTGCCCTTGCAACTGGAGCACATGCTTCTCTACGACATTCGCTCTTCAAACCCGGAATCAATCCTTGTTAGTTTTACCAGACAGGCAGAGGAGGCAATCTTCTACAATCTTCTTCTAGGTGTGAATAAATCCTACACCAGCCAGCCAGCCAGCCAGCCAGATGTGTTCGTTTATTAATTCAGCAGCATAGAACTCAGTTTTCTCCAAACCCACCTGTCTAATCTTATTGGATATAATTAATTATTCATTTCTGTATAAGTTACAGATTATGAACAATGGCTAGATGTTACCGTGAAACTAGGTGTTACTTTGAAACTAGGTGTTACCTTGAAACTACTGCTATATTCTTTTTGCACTGAGGCCTTTTGATTTGTTTCCTACGGGGTATATA